CCAGCTTCTCTCTAACTGTTGACAAATGATTAATATTGTAAATTTCACACCATATTTAATTTACAAAATTAAAACCATGTTTCAACAGTAAGCAAAATAATCAAGTGATGACAAAGACAACTAAAAAAAAATAAACACAATTATGTTTAAGATTACAAAAAAAAAAAAAAAAAAAAAAAAAAAAATTAAAATCATTTAAAATTGAAACTGTTATTATTTGTTACTATAAATTGTAAAATTCATACTTTGCTTTATTTTAAAGAGTCTAATGTAAAGTCAAATAATAGACATCAACACCGCTTGACACTGAATTCTGGCAAGTAAGTTTTCAGTTCATCAAAATTTCTTATATTTCAATGACAATTAATTTTATCACGCCTAGATCTATTTCTTTCATATGACAACAATTTCAAATCACCTATAACCATTTACACTAATAACTTCTTCGAACCTAATATTATACATCTGTTATCATTAAATATATATTACCAGTGATTATACTACTGTTACAACTGAATAAATGAACATTTTATATTCTTACAACTGAAAAATATAAAACAAAATTTATTGACATTATTTTAATTTAGCAAAGAATTTAGAACACAATGCAAATAACTTTGCATTGTGTTCTAAATTCTTTGCTAAATTAAGAAAGCCTTCAGGCACAATCTTAATGCGCAAAAATAATAAATGCAGAATCTTGTATAAAAAATACAGCAATGTCAGTCTAAAGTAATATATATATATATATATATATGTATGTATATATATTCAAGTTTTTTCTATTCTTTTTAATTTTTTCTTTGAGATAATATTCATATAGATTCAGAGAAATATAAAATATTTTGATATATAGGCACATTTAAGTATATAAACTTACCTGTCAAAAATTACAGTCAGTTTTCCATGTTAAATACATAAAATATAATTCTAATATAAAATTAAACTAAAAATTAATCTTACTCAAATCAGTAACAGTTCGACACTCTAAATATTTTTATTATTAACCTTTATATTTAAAAAAAGAAACAATTGATTTGAAGTGACTAAAAAGCACTTTAGCTCTTTCCAATTGTGCTAAAAAATAAAATAAATCTTGCTTTGATAAGTTGCCTAGTTCTTAAGAATCTAAAAACAAATAAGTAAAAAACCAAGAACAAACAAACATTTATTTACTAAAACTACTCTATTTAAACAAATTAAATTAAACAGAGAACAACATTGATACTCCTTGAAAGCTGAAAAACTTTTCAGCTCAAATTTGCTTGCAGAGCTTGCTTATAAAGCCACTTGAATAAGAAAAGCATCAAAAAAGCCTAGAAGCTACTTAAAAATGGTATATGCAACATTGAACTTTAAATGTTGATTGGAGTAGATACTTTTAAAAAATTCAAAATGATTTGTTCTTCTATAGCAAATAAATACACCATAAATCTGAAGTTAAAAATGTAACGAATAAGTAAATACAAAGAAAAACATCATATGTGAATTGAAAATCAATGTACCTGATAGAGATAAGCTGTTGTGATACCTGAGTAGTAAATGCTAAATATTGTTTTTCATGATAAACAAAATGTATTTAAAGCGAAATGGTCTTGAATGAATTTTAGTAAATAAATAAAAGCAGTGAGTTCTAGTAATGAAACTACCTATTAATCATTTTTAACAGCTGACACCAAAGTAAAGATAAGCCAAAGGTAACAACATTACGCGAAAAATTATTAAAGATAATGCAATGTGTTTTCAGAATAGTTATATTAAAGGCTAGGCAACACTTAGACCTAAAGCAGTAACACCGCATGACTGGTAAGGTTGATAAATCTTGCTCTACACGTTAGCCAAGTCACTCCACTTTGAAATCATGGAAACAACATTATATAACCATATATACTAATATAAAAAAATTCTCAAAACAAATATATAAAGAATCCAAACTAATGCAAAATAAAATTAATTTGCTATCGTCAAAAGTAATACAGGTTTCTTAAGTTTATTTGATAGAAGTTAAGAAAAACCTGCAACCATATTAGCAAAAACTTATTAAAAAAAGTTAAAATTTATTTTGTTTCTAATAAAGAAAAAAAAATTCAGAAACAAACAACATTTCTTCGCAGACAGCGTCATAAGGCATGCGTTGGGAGAAAATATTGAACAAAACGGGTAATAAAACGGGTTATTAACGCAGGTTTATACATTTTTTTCCCCCAACACACTATTATGCTGCCGGAACTCCAAGGATATACATAGTTATTGTTGATTATGATTAATAAAAATTCTGTAAATATAAATTTTCTAATGATCTAAATCTTTATAAATTAGATATTTTATTATATATCTTACTTATAAATTAAATCAATTATATTTATCTTAACTATAAATTAAATCTTTATAAATTAGATATAAATAGAAAAACAAACATATAATAACACAATTATATCCTAAACCAAAATTCTATCATGCAAGGCAAATTATTAAATTTTTTGAAAAGAAAAAAAACATATTTTTTTTTAAAGAGCCAAAGTATTAACAATACTATAGATATATTTTATTTATAACAAAATGTTGTCATGGCTTTTATCCCAATTATTAAAAGCATTTGAAAGCATAAAACTACCGATAAATATCTTTTAATGGTAGACACCATCTAAGAATTATAGTAATCTATATTTTCAATATTAACATGTATAACACGAAGCTTTAAACTTAAAAGTACAATTTAAAAAAGATTACAATAAACTAATTACTTATAAAATTTTAAAAAGATTTTATAAATACTCAATGTCTACTTAGACATTTTGAAAAGATTACGATTTTGAAAACTTGAAACATTAAATTTAAATTTTAAAAAACTGAAACTTTAATTCTACCTCAAAGAAAACAGATATATATTGAAAAGTATTTTTATTTCTTTTTAAAAATTTAAAAATGCTTTTAAACTTACTCCCTCCAATATAATTATATAATATATATAGTATATATCATAAATAAACCTCCACAATTTCCTTGGTTTAACAACTCGAATATGATTAATAACAACTCTGTAAACATGAATTTTCTAATAACCTAAATAAATTACAGATAGACAAACATAAATAACTTAATTAAATCCTAAACCAAAATTATTTTATATTTATTGAAGAGCCAGAAACATATTTTTTTTCAAAGAGCAAAAGTATTAACAATATTAAAGATAAATTTTATTTATATCAAAATTTTCAATAAAAATTATATTAAGATAAATTTATAACAAAATGTTGTCATGGATTTTATCCCAATAACCAAAACTTTGTGAAAGCATGAAACTACCCATAAATATATTTTAACGCTAGACACAATCTATGAATTAAAGTAATCTATAACACGAAGCTTTAAATTTAAAATTACAATTTAAAAAAGATTACAATAAATTAATTACTTATAAAATTTAAAAAAGATTTTAGATTACCTATAATTTTGAGCTACTAAATATTATCTACTTAATGTCAACTTGGACATTTTGAACTCGTGCAATGAAAGGTTGAAAGGAAATCTTTAAGAAAGCACGCGGTTTTACTTAAACATAGTTTGGAATTTTTATCAGTAAAAAAAATTGTTAAACGGAGCGGATTTTAATTAAATTTAATAAAATAAATTACTAAAACTATGATTAATAATAAATTTAATTGAAATACAATAAAAATAAATATAAATTAAAAACTTTTTAAAAACGGATAGTAGAAAAAATTTTTTTTTTAGTAGTAGAAAAAATAGTAGAAAAAATTTTTTTTTTAAACCTTTTGAATACTCCATAAAGATGTTTTGGCATTAGTTGGACTAACTTTTTTGCAAAGTTTCTGCAGAAGTCAGATCCCATTTGTGCTGCATTTCATTTCAGATATAAAGCTGTTATTGATATTTTTCTATTCACTACATATTGTATTGGTAAATGTAGAGGCTGAACCTTTGTGATTTTTCTCAAAGTGCTAAGAAGCTATGCTTGGAGTTGCTATCCTGTGGAAAGCAGATGAGTTTAGCAACACCATTATTGTGGTTTTTATTGATAATATTGATGTAATCTCTGTCAACCTTTTTAGAATTTATTTTGTATAAGTCAAAAACTAAAAACGATTCCATTCAATAGACCACCTTAAATGTTTTACAATAGGTTGTATGGAGTTCTGTTTGAATTATTTTACTAATTTATAGAATTCTTGTAGTTAAAAGATGTAGTACAAATTATTTGTAGTAATTTTTTAACATACATCATTGGAAAAGTTGTATATCAACAGTGCCTTACCCAGCGATAGTTTGGGCAGTACTGATTGTGATTTTTTTCCCTTGACATTTAGTTATATTTGCAATACACACTTAACAAAAATGACAGTTTTTTTTTATGTCTTTATTTGCTTTTCTTAACAAAACAAAATAAATGCATTAAAAATATGTATTTTTTGTTTAAATATAAATTCATATTTAAAAATTTATAAATTATTTATATTTAAACAAAAATATTTTTTGTTTAAATATAAATAACAATTAATCAAATAAATTTTGAACTGTTTCTATTTGAAATGTATTACTTTCATGTATTGTGAAAATTCCAAACTTAATTATGTTTGTGTTTATGTCAAATTAGAGTGTTTTGCAAAAAATCTCTCTAATGGAAGCCTGGGACCAGTGTTTTGTAAAATATTTAACTTTGTTATCTTATAACAAATTTCAATTCATCGTTTTAAATACCCTCTAGTAATCATTTATTGTTTAAAAGTAATCACCATGTAAAGTATCTCTCTCCATTTTTCTATATGTTTTTCCCTCTTCAAAATAGTAAGGACTGGATCCCAGCCCCGGCTATATATGGAACTTTTTACAAACCCATTTGCATATCTGAATTTATATACATATATATATATATATATATATATATATATATATATATATATATATATATATATATATATATATATATACATATACATATAAATTTATTTAAAACCTATTAAATTATTTGTATAATTTAGAAATGAAGGAATAACTGGGTTCTACAAAGGTCTTGTTCCTTCAGTAATTCGGTGAGTAGAATATATATATATATATATATATATATATATATATATATATATATATATATATATATACATACATACATACATACAGGTATGTTTCTATATAAACTTTGTGCAGACCTGTCAATCTTTAGTTTACTGAACTTTGAAATTTAAATTAAAAAGTTTATTTTCTTCATTTTAGTACAAAAAAGGCTATATTTTTTAAAGTTCAAAATTAATAAAATTTTAATAACTTAAATAAATAGTTAATTATGCATTTTCAGTTTTATATATAAATCACAAGATCAGCTCATTCTGAAATTGATTTACCAAGAATAACACGCTGTATTTAGTTAGATAGAAAAGAGTTAAGCCATTTGTGAATTTTGCCTTGAATTCCATTTTTGAATACTTTATCGATAAGTCTTTTATGAGAGACTTAGTCAAAAGCCTTTTCATAGTCAAGGAAGATTATATAGAATATTTGTGATTGCAACTGATAGAATATTTGTGATTGCAACTGATTTAGTTGTAAAATCAAATGTTGCCAGGAGGTTTGTTATTCAAGCTTTGTTTTTGATGAAACCATGATGGCTTGGATGTATTAAGTTATTTGTATACAGATAGTTCATATTAGCACTTTTTATGTGTTTCATTATGCTCCATGTCACTGATGTTCTGATGTCACTGATTGTCAGAGATTGGCCTGTGATTGGCTGGATCTGTTTTTTTTCCTTTTTTAAAAAGAAGTGTAATGTTGACACAAGTCCATTCAATAGGAATAGTTCCAGAATTAAATGACAGTTAAAACAGAAAGGCAAGTGGTGAGGACCAAGCCGAAGCACACTCTTTTAATACATGTGGATGAATTTTATCTATTCCAATTCATTTGCTAGTGTCTAAATTAAGTAAAATATTTTCAGCGGTAACTGATGTAATTATAAGATCTGAAAGAACAGCATTAGTGCAAAAATTAAAACTTAAAAGTTTTTGGTTTTCTTGTTCAAATACTGAATTAAATTGCTTTTTAAGAGTTTTTTATTTGTTTCAATTACAGTTTCATTAGTAATACTTTCTTATTGTTGGTAGCAAATGAATGTTTAAATGTTCGAATACATATCTTTGTTTGTATTTTAAGGGTTCTAGTTGCAGTGATATAGTCTCTAGTGTCTCTTGTAAAGTGATTGGCATTTTTTATACCTGATGATATATAAAGCTGCCAGAGTTTGTTTTTTATATTTAATTTGGCAGAAAAGATTGTTATTCATCCATGGAGGTCTTTTTTTATTGATTCAATAGAATTTTTTACTTAAAATAGAATCCTATAATTTTTTTATTGGTCTAAGAATGTTGAATAGCATTGATAGACTTATTGGAAAATAAATCTTTTCAATTAACAGTTTATATGGATTCAGACATATGGGTATATTCATTTTGATCATAGTTATATTTATGACTGGATATTTTGTAAATAGTAATTTTCTAGGTGATAGTCCCAAGAAATAATTATGTGTCCTTGCATTGTTGAGCCAAGTGGAGCAGAGTTTGTTATATCACTGATTCTCTAATAATATTCTGATTTTATATAATCTAAAGTGTTATGTATATATATAAGTGTTATGTATATATATATATATATATATATATATATATATATATATATATATATATATATATATATATATATATATATATATATATATATATATATATATATATATATATACATACATATATATATATATATATATATATATATATATATATATATATATATATATATATATATATATATATATATATCTGCGCTCAAAATACCGGCCGATCAACGATGAATGATCAGCTATTTTCAGGGAAATTTCAAAAATATTTAAGGAAAAATAACCTGTTTTTGTGAAAAAATTACATTTGATCAGCGAGCTTTGAAAAACTATTTCGAGCACTGATTTATATAAATTTACATATATATATATATAAATATACATATACGTATACATATATATATATTTATTTGTACATGTACAATCAAATACTATTCTGTAAAATAATGTATATATATATATATATGTGTGTGTGTGTGTGTGTGTGTGTGTGTGTGTGTGTTTGAACATTTTTAAAAATGTATTTTACAAAATAGAGTGCTCAATGTTCTTAAAAGAACAGAGCAATTATAAATTAGTAGATTTCTGATTAGTCTTTATTGATAAAACACAATGAAAAATAAAAAAAAACTTTTGTTAAGTGTTTTTCTACTAATTTATATATATATATATATATGTATATATGTATATATATATATATATATATATATATATATATATATATATATATATATATATATATATATATATATATATATATATTAACATCTAATTAATGGTTGCTTCCAACAAGGCTGCAAGCAACCACTAATTAGTGTTTGAAGTTACTGGAAGAGAAAGGATGAAGATTGTAGAGCAAGATAACGATTAACAGACAACTTAAAAGCTTGCAAATTATATGAATCAGGAAAGCAAGGTGAAGGAAGTGAATTCCAAAGAACTGATGTTCGAGAAAAAAAACTAGACGAATAAGAGTTTTTGGAGCACTTAGGAACAGTAAAAGGATGAGACTTAATTGAATGACGAGTAACACGAGAATGAATTTTAGTAGATGGCACAAAAGACACTAGCTCTTTAGAGCAGTGCCCAATATAGTATTTGTAGAAACGAAAAAGAGAAGCAACATTACGACGATGTGACAGAGGTTGAAGGTTGGCTTCAAAAGCAGGTTCAACTATGTTTACAATGCGTTTTTGCACCTTGTCTAAAAGAGAAAGGGCATCATTAGAAGATCCACCCCAGATATGGCAACAGTATTCCATACAAGGCTGGATTTGAGATTTATAGAGATAGAGAATAGAATTTAGAGTAAGAAAGTGATGAGCTTGATAAAGAGAAGCGACTTTAGCAGATGCTAATTTTGCACCGAAATTGATATAAGGTTTCCTAGAAAGATCAGGAGTAAGAGTTAATCCTAGAAGGTGAAGGGTAGGAGACTCATCGAGTACATTACTGTTCATAAATATAGGAAGGTCTAAATTATTGCGATAACAATTGGCTGAAAAAAATCGAGTTTTATCTGAATTAAAGTTCACCAGCCACTGTGAGCCCCATGCTGTAGCAGAAGTGAGATCTTTTTCATGCTCAGATGCCCCCTGCAAGCAATCAGAGGGAGTTGGCTTCTTATCGTGACAAGAATAAATGGTAGTATCATCAGCGAACAATGCCACTTTAGATGTGAGAAAATCTGGAAGATCGTTAATGCAAATTAAAAAGCGTACAGGGCCAAGGATTGAACCTTGAGAAACCCCTGAGGTTACAGAATAAGAAAAAGAGTGCTGTCCATCAAGGACAACTTTTATACTGCGATTGAAAAGGAAGGATTTAATAATCTTAACACGTTCACGCCGGCGTGTACCACGCTGTGGTACACGCCGGCCAATGAGACAGTCTAGTGTGTACCACCGGTGGTACACGGCGGCGTGAACATGTTAAAGATGTTTCCATATACACTTTAAGAAGAAAGCTTAAGGAGAAGACCAGCATGCCAAACTTTATCAAACGCTTTAGAAATGTCAAGAGCAATGGCCTTAACCTCTCCACCTTTATCCAATGCGCGATAAAACCTATCGGTTATTACTGTTAGCAAATCAGCCGTAGAACAAGAAAATCGAAATCTATATTGATGATCAAAAAGTAGGTTATGAGATTCGAGATGAGAGATTAAGTGTTTGTTAATTAAAGATTCAAAAACCTTGCTTATGATAGGAAGAAGACTAATGGGACTGTAATTAGACAAATCAGATCGCTCTCCAGAATTTTTAAAAATAGGGATAACAGATGCTGCTTTCCAGCAGGCTGGAAAACAAGACTCTGATAAGCACTTATTGAATAGTCTTGAAAGGATAGGCGACAGCTCCGGACTTTATAGTTTTGCTCCAATTACTTCTGCAAAACTATAACAGGTATGTTGTCCGGGCCGCAAGCTGTAGAAGAGTCTAAGCAGGAAATCACTCTAGATACAGAAGCTGGAGTGATACAGATGTCCAGCAGTGGATCAACCTGTTTGACGGCTACATCAGGTAGAACGCAACTAGTGGAATCTAGAGATGATATTGATGAAAAGTTCTTGGCAAACAATTCAGCTTTGTCTTTAGGTGAGGTGACAATGACTGAACCGTACAAAAGAGGCGGAATTACAGACTTGCCCTTATTATTGATACTATTAAAGATTATCCAGAAGTCACGAGAGCCTAATTTTTGTGATGAAATACGAGATTTCATGATCTGAGAATAGCGGGCTTTGGCGTTAGACAAAACCTTTTTACAATGGTTCCTAGCAGTAATATACAGACGTCTGTTTTCTGGAGAATTGTTTTGCTGATAGATGTGGAAGTAATGGTTTCGATTGGCAATTGCAGCAGCACAATGTGAGGAAAACCATGGAGAAGAGTGAGGCTTGACCTAAAATGATCGAGAGGGAATAAAGATTTCCGTGCCAACCTGAATCGACAAAGTTATGTAAGAAGCACTTTTGTCAACAGGAAGACAAAAGATTTCTATCCAAGGGCTATCACGAAGAAACTCACGGAAAGAGTCCCAGTCAGCTTTAAGGTAGTTGTAAGATGTACGATGATAGGGGGTTTCTTATGGTAAAGAAGAATGAGATAATAGTTTTAGAGAGACCAAGTCATGATCAGAAGCACTTAAGGGTGAGTGTGAAGAAACTGAGCACTGACTAGTATCAGAAACAAGACATAAGTCGAGTAGAAATGGTAAATGATTCGGGTTGTCTGGAAAGCAAGTTGGAGAGTTGACTATTTGAATTAGGGATTGAGAAAGACAAAAGTTGTGGGCCTTAATGCCTGCAGAGTCACTGACACTAGAGCCAAGCCATTCAGTGTGATGAACATTAAAGTCACCGACAACAACAATATTGGCTGATGGATTAAGAATGAGGGCTTGGTCAATATAATCAGAAATAACATCAAGAAGAGTGCAGTCTTGAGAAAAAGGGGAGCAATATAGAACAAAGAGAAAGGTGATAGAGGGAAGTAGTGCTAAACGAAAGCACATAAAAGAGTAGTCTGTGAATTCAAACCTAGTTTCCCGTTAATTGGGTGAATTCTTACAAATGTAAATGCCTAGGCCAAGCATGTGACTATTGGAGTCTTTACGAATTAAAGGAAGATAACAACTAACAACTGACGATTGTTTAATAAACGCGCACATTAAAAAGTTTAAAAAAAGATTCTTAATTCTTCGCCGTAAAGAAAAAATAGTTAAATCTTTTATTAAAAAATTTGATTCAGTTTTTTTTTATTTAAAAACATTTGTAATAATAAATAAATACTTTTAAAAAAA